AAAAAAACATCTAAAATTGAAGCGAATTTGGAAGTTATTGAGTTGTTTTTATTTTCCGCGCTCAGGCTGACGTAAGTAACCGGAGGTGGAATTTCACCTCCTTAGCAACGCACGCGAGCGCGCGCATAAATCGGTTAATGGGCCCTTAATAAGCTAGAAAGAGAATGAAAATGGCTCAATAAATAATAAGCCCAACTTAGAACATAGTGTTATTCATCGTGCACTACAGGCTAGTTTCCATATGATAGCCGCGATCGTCACAGGAAAAGTCGAGCGACTGCGACTGTCAGGATTTGCTCGCAGATCGCTTAATAATAAAAATGTCCGAGGGGACCTGGATTAAACAAAGAAGAAGTGCATTTGGCACATTTAGTATCATTGCAACGATTACTGCAACCTCTGGAGAGGTGGTCTATGTATGATTGCAACGATTGCTGAACTGTATTCTCTTTTTTCTCAGTGATCCTGGCGATCATTTGGAAGTCAGCCTTTAGAATGTTAGAGAAATTATGAGGAAAAGTTCCTTCTTCCGGGATGTTGCTGAAAGGCAGGAACGTAATCTGTGCTAACGTTCTGCTTTGCCTCTAACGTTTGAGTAGATACAAAATGACGACTTTACTAAAAATTCCAGCTTCAAGTACAACGTAATGTTAAGGATAGATGTAGATTGAATATTTTATTATTATATACTAATCAATAATAATTGAGAACGGTAGCTGTCTTAAAGGATTATTGCAAGAAACTATCATTTCAGCTGTATTTGAATACGTTTCTATAATAATCAAGAATTTATTCCTTCGTTCTCGCTTGAAATTTCGCGCAGATCCACAAAAGCCAACTTTGGTTTATGGTTGCTTGGAGCGCCTTGCCATGTACGGTGATGGACTGCCCACTCTCCAGCACAGCCACATGTCCGAGAAACGGTAATCTGGCTTGTACCTTCCCTATTCAGTTGCTGTTCATTACGAGTGAAGTAATTAGTGCAAATCTTGATTTTCGGACGATGAAAGAATTGCCGAAAATATCGCGAGTAAGTTTGATTCCTGGCAGCGTAAATAACTGGATAGCAAGCTGATCTAAAACAAAGGGTTATTTTCGCCAAGAAATACAGTGCCATTGAGCACTTGGAAGAGCTTCCTTCGCATACCCCAGTTAGCACCAAGGATGGAATCAGGCATAAGAAATAAGTTGCAATGATAAGCAATGTAGTGAAAGCAGATTTAGAATACGCTGTCGCTATGTGATTACTTATCGTTCCAATAGCGTGGACGCGTTGTCTACTTTTAAGGGCTGTTCGGAGAATATGGAAGCTTGCGAAGGTCATAATAACCAATGGCAAGAAAATGCCAAAGACAAACAACAACCCTCGTAAAATATCAGCTAACGTCCATGTTCGTAAATCTTTGTTCGCTAGAAACGATGCCTCGCAGTTTACCAGCAACCACGCCACATACTGCCAGCGGAGCCTGCCATTGAATATTAAGTCCCAAGGAATACCGTATAAGACCGACAGAGTCCAGATTACAACCAGGAAGATCTGGACCCGGGTGCGAGTCATTTTGTGGTGGACTTTCTTCACGACAGCAAGGTATCGGTCGATGGATATGCCGACAAGACTCAAAAACCCAGCACTCATAGAAGAGTTAAAAATAGAAGAAGCTGTAATGCACCACGCAGTTCGATCAAACATTTCACCGTGCACTACTAGAATAGAAACGTGTGTGGCAATGCCCAAAATGGACGATGCAAACTCGGCTGTTAGGTGACTGATGACCAACATGTTCGTCGTTGTACGCATTCTGACGTCTTTTGCAAAAGCAAAAATAAACATACCATCTCCCAAAGCAGCAAAGACGTAGAACAAAAGAACAATGGTGCAAACTATAATCACATGTGTTTCGTTTGGGTGAAGAATCGACAAACATTCATTCTTCGTCTCCGCTGACGGAGCCTTGGTTAGCACCTCTTGGGTTGTGTAGTTAGATTCCAAGGCCATGCAGTGCACTGTTATCCTCGATCACAGTGTCAGCAATAAGAACAACTATACATCTGTGTCTTTTGTCAGCAGACTTTGGACTTGTTTCGCCTCAAACAATAAAGATACGATTAGTTATGGAACTTGAAACATTATGATTCACCAGTTTCTCTCCATTGAACATTTAAGCTTTCAATCGCTAGCTCAAGGTGCCTTTGGGTTATTGTTTTCATATAACTTGAATGGGAACCGCAAATCAATCAGCATGATTTTGCCATTCCTTAGCTTCTTACCATGCATCCAGTCGTCTAAAGAATTGAAATAATTTCGTACTGTGATCAAAGGCTGAAGAACGACGAACCGTGGAGTAGATGGTGAATCATACGGTTCCGAAAGTTAAAAATGCAAATGTTATACCCTCGCAAACTTACTCCGAGGCTTTTTCTAGTGTCAGGCTGAAAACTTTCGCTACTTCCTGTTTTATCTGTGCTTTGAAGAGCTAATGCGTATTGTTAGTTTATCGACAGAGTCACGTGAACATCAGATGCGATGAGCTGATTTTGGAATTCATCATGCCAAGACGCAGACGTGATCCATGATGCATTCATGATCAATGAAACGTAAAACTAGACCAAAACAGTCGATTTGTCTGGATTAATTACCGTTAATAGCACAATGATCAGGCAAGCATGCAGAGCCGTCAAATCAAAGACTAACGCACAAAACATCACTACAGCAGGTTTTTCACCAAATGACTGTCTCCTTCAGTAGCTTCAGGCTCTCATGAATCTCGTCATGAAAGGCGGAACGGCTTCCTCTACCATTATGCGTTAATAAATGGCTTCCGTTCTCAAACACCGTCACAGCGCAAATTAGCTACTTTACTGTTCAGTAAAGCCACCGTAAAGTAACCGTAAAGCCGGTATTTACGGAACGTTACTTATCCGTAAAGCGGAAATTTCTGGTGGCTAACAGTGTATAAATTACTCAAAGATATGGTGTCACAAAGTCTCTAAAGTACACAAAGAGCTCTCGCTTGAGACGGCTGAGGAAATCAAGAAAGATTTTCAAAGCAAACTTTGTTTTTCTAGGCTCACAACGAAATATACTAAAAAAAAAACTAATCATTAAGTGCTATTTCTTAGAGCTGACTAGCACTGACTCTTGATGCCGTGTGAATCGCTTGGTGTTTCAGTAAACACACTACTCTCACACAAGACTAGTATAGTCTAGTCGTTGAAGGAAATATGTAGTTTATACTGGCACAAAAGGACAAGTTACAAGTGGACTATTCATGGCATACCACGAGAAAACACCGCTTAATTATGTTATCCAATGCTCCACCAAAGCTGGTATATATAAAATTTTGTGAAGATTTCTTAGACGACTATACGCAAAGATTGCGGTCGAATATTTCCAACTAGAGTATTTTCCGAGCAATTTAAACGACTTGGAAACTACTCAAAGTAAAAAGTAAGTACAAAGTATATTTGGCAACCAAGATATGCCTTGTACTTACAGTCAAGGACACTGATTATCTATAGCTTTTAACAGCAAAATCCGTTGTGTTTGGACCACTTCTTTAAGAGTCAGGCGAAGAATGTTTAATGGATAAGTGAATAAAGTGGAAGAGAAGCCAACAAAAGCTAACCTTCGTAAATTTCGCTCATGCATGTCCCATTCTACTGTCTGTGCATTCTAATGTCTGTCTGTGTATCACGATGCCCAAGACTCGTGCGAGAACTTGAACAATAACATGCGTTTTCTTAACGATGAGCATTGGCATCGGTCTAAATCTGCTACAAGTCTCCACCCTTTAAGCGGCCTTTTATTGAAAGAGCTGGCGCATATATATCTGGAGAAGTTGCAGCTCCGCACGGAACAAAACTGAATGTGTTGGGAAACAAGCCGATCTCAAGAACAGATCTCTGGAAGTCGCACCGTTTTAGTCACTATTCTTACACTTTTCAGTTTTGCTAGTTCTTTAGCTTAATTAACTCGGATTTTGACTTAAATGCGCAAGATTCCACAAACAACATAAATAAGAAATTGAAAACAACAATATATAATAAATGTAATAAAAATTTTCACCCATGACTTCTTGATACCTCCCCGACGAAGAAGTTTCTAATTTTTGACGGAAGTTTGGTGAAAGTCAATACGCTGATTCGACCATTCGAAATTCCATTGTAACGAATGCTGAGTAAGCGCTCAAAGTTTTGACATCGCGTTTGTTGCGAATGGCTATGCTAAAGATCATATAAGTCAGTAAAAGCTAATTTGACGGGCTTTCCTCTAAACGACCTCGTTTTAGGTTCGTAGGGCGTGACAATGTTACACGTTGAACTGTGACTGGGGTTTTGCGTACAAACGTACACGTTACTCGTACTCAATCCATAATCGGTCGGTCTGCAACGCATCGATGCGTAGGCCCTTCGTATATACCTGAATTTCTTTACGAAGAACGACCGAACGTAACCGGAAAATTTCCGATTGCGAGCGATAAAAATCACCGGATAACACACGGAACGGAAGCTCATAGCGACCTTGGCGATGCTGTGTAGTGCGAGAGAGTAGAAACTCGAACTGCCTTCTCTGAAAACATACAATATCATGCTCGGCGTGAGGCAGAGAAAGTACACAGTTATGATAAGAATCGTTGTAAACGCAGACCTCATGTACGCATCAGCAGGATTCCTTGGATATTCGAGCACGTGAATGCGAGCGCGCTTGTGAATGGCGCTCCGGAGGATTCTCACACTTGCGTAAAATATTATACAGCATGGAATGAAAAAGGACAATATCCAGAGTACGATCCGAAAGGTTAGCACAGGAACGTTGTGATGCTCTCGCAGTGTCAGGTACTTTTCGCAGTTTCCGAGCACCCAGGCTATAAATCTCTTTCCGGGCTTGTTTATAAGGATTAAGTCCCAGGGAATCGCCGACACCACAGCTTGGCTCCAAATGAAAATGATGACACGCGTGATTACTTTCTTAGTGAACTTGTGATGACTTCTTTTCACGACAGCAAAGTAGCGATCCACAGAAATGGCTGCCAAACTCAATACGGAAACAAAGAACAAAAACATGTTGACTGTGCCGGCAAAAATACACAAATTCCCGCCCAGAACCTCGAGTCGAATCAGGCTCGATCCGTAGACGAGAATGCCATTGATGGCGAATGAAAACTCCGCAGAAATGTGGCTTATAACTAACATATTGGTGGTTGTTTGCATTCGATAATCCCGCCAATAAGCCACAAGAAGAATCCCGTTGCCGACCATTCCTAACACAAACAGGATCAACACAATGATTCCCTGGCTGAGTATGGCACATTTGTCGTTTGCAACTTCAGTCTCGAAAACCATTTCCTCTGTACAACTGATGAATAACCTCTTGTAGAGTGTCTTGCTATAAAACGACGCCTCTATGTTTCCTTTCCCCACGACGCCTATATGTTTCCTACCCCCACTGTAGATCGCTGGAAAAACTTGACTCAACTCGTGAACATTCCAGGGCATCTATTAATGATATCTTCTGTTGATTTCGTGTTTTTTTTAGTTGTCTGGTATGAGTTAAACACTTGTCACACGACTAATTACCCGTTGAATGGTTAAGTGTCGTGAATAAAATCTTTCTGAGCGGCAATGCATGATGTACAATATTGAACACTTAAATTGTTCACGAATCGAGTTACTAATTACTTATGTGTTCCTAATTACTAATGTGGTTTTTGTTGTGGCCATCAACAACAGCTTCTGTAGCTTGTTCTTTAAAACTAGTTGTCTGCTTCGATATAATTCGAATACACACGGTGTAGATTTAGTGGTTAGCCACATGATCAGAGGTCAGCTTGTTTCGAGAGCCTTGGTGAAGTGTTATATTTAGATCACCAAAAAATATATTTCAACAAGTCTTCAATATTGGCTTTGAATGACTTATCCTTACGTGAGGTGGAACTCGAAACAGCTTCGTCACTGTTATTAAGTGGATAGACCACCTACAACGACCTCAAATCGGATGTACATGTTTCCACCGTAATAGTTTACTTTCGGTGATATAACTAATTCATCCTTTTATGCGGTCGTCGTAATATTACCGACGTTAGTAATGTTTCAATTCAAGCTGATAAACCACAATATCATCTACACTAAAGACAAACTCAAAAGAGCCAACATAATATCTGATGATTTGTGCCATTCATGTATAAGTGAAAGGCATACAATCCAGCATATGTTTTTAATGTGCTCCCATGTAGCTTTATTTAATTTGGAATGAATTTTTTGACTGGTGGTCGCAAGTCACAGGTGAAAACATTCAGTCACCAGACTCAACTCTCATTACGGACCTACAAACTCACTCAATCACCATCAACCCCTAAGCTTGGCTTTACTGGTGACAAAATACTTCTTTTACGAATGCAACTTGAATGAACAATCTTTACTCTTCTCACTGTTCGAGGAAACATAATAACTGAAAGATACGTCTCAATAAAAAAACATAACTGTCAATCTCTTTAATGACAAATGGAAATGCTTTATATTAAAAGATTTTGTTCTGGAAATTTTGTCACCACCAACGTCTCAATAGGAGAAATGAATTTACCTTTTTTGTGTCAATGTTCTCATGTTTTTCAAAATTTCTAATCAGTAGCGCCAAGCATTAATTTATTTGTTTATCGTTTTATATGGCATGTACTTAACTGTATGTTTTATTTTACTCTAAGTGTTTTTCGATGAATAAAAATATTTCAAAAAAAATAAAAAATAGAATATATATTACCGACGTAGCCTTACGTGAGACTGCCTGTTTAATAGCAAACACAACTTTTTTTTTTATAGGAATATTGTTTTTCTGGCCAAGGCTGAATATTCTTATTTTTCTGCGAATTTTAGGCTGAAAATATCCTTGTGAATATTCTTAGATTATATTGTATTCAGAAATCTTCGGCACACAAACTATATTCGTTTCAAAATTTCAGCCTCGGGTCTATTAAATTCTTGAAATATTTTTCAAATTTCTCAAATTTCAGCCTCGATATTCTTATAAAGTATATTCTTATTAAAAAGAGTGTATCACAATGATCCTAGCTGAGATTCCTTTCAAACCCTTTATAAGGAGGGTATCTTGATTTGTTCGAAGTAGTCCAAATCTGCTTGTTCACTGCAAACGAGATGTTAATTTAATGTAAATTAAAGTGGCTTGTAAACTACTAAAGCACTTAAAAAACAAAACAAAACAAAAAATATTAACGGGGAAAGAAACAGGGAGGTCAATTTACCGCTCTGGCATGTTTGCAAGTGATTTTTTTAACCAATTCAGTGCTCTTTATTAATTACGTTATCTTTAACAATTTTGGACTGAGTCACTGGCAGCCGATGTGAAACCTCGCTGTTCAGTGCGTTGCTTATCATAACAAGCTGTTTTTATCCAAGAATGGTGAACATCGAAGCAATTTAAGACTGCACTTGGTTGAGAGGTATTTTTTTCGCTGATAGGGGAAGTTGATCACGATTTGATTGAATTGATCGTAATAACCGAGATTACTGTATGTACCTAAATCAGATTATCAACTCCGTGCGGCATGAAATAAGTGTTAGCTAGCTGGCCCACTGACGCTACTCAACATATAGCACATCTTAGTCTTATTATGTGAGTTCGGTTTGGATAATTGACGGATAAAGATTAAAGCCAGAACTGTAACTCACAGCCAAAATTTTGACAGCCAGGCAACTGGCAAACGGCCCGAGATGTTAGCTCTCATGAAGTGCCTTGACCTGTACATTCGTAATGACAACTGAAAATCACCAAACACCATTGAAAATTGATCGAAATATTCTAACACAATTTACAACGCTCTTGAATCTTTTTACACTGTCTTTCAGCCCCTCAGCCATATCAACTGATGACACTTGAACAAAAAATGTAAATATATTGTATGATAGGCTTATACTGATACTCATACTGTCGACCTAATTCGGTCCTTTAGTTGTCTGGATGACAACAAGCATTGAACGGAATTGCTTGCTTTGTATCACACAGGTTACATTTGTAAAGTTCTTCATTTAGTAGTGTTCCTCTCAGTGTGGGGAATTTGCTTGTTGCACAAACCAACCAAAGCAAATCAGTGATCGATTTCGTACAGGATAAGTATGCATATGTAAGCGATATATCTAGCTCTAAGAGTGAGATCGAAGTCAGTAAAGTAGTTAGCTTAGAGAAACAAAATCTGATAAGTGCAAGCTAAGAGAATCAGGTCAAGTGTATGGTATAGTGTCCAGGGGGTTCTGACATGCCGGATGGAAGAATATTGGATTTTGGCGAGCTGTATCCTCCGATGTATACCCACGGTTATTCCTGCTTCCTTAGTTTCCTACTTATGTGCAACAACTGTGTAATTATATTCTAGAATGTCAGTTAAAATGCCGAATAGTGATGATTGAATGCTTCCTAGACTGTTCACAGTCCCTTATTTTTCCGTGAGATCGAAGATGTGCTGAGATGACGATCGTTGAGTTCGACGGGCCGCCACCTTGGTCTCTTGATGCGAGCGAAACTGGGGAGAGTACAAAAGTCCGTGGGTAGGGGTGGTGGAAGGTACGGCGGGCGAAAAACTTGAATAGGGAGACTGTAACAGCTTCACTGTCTCGTGTTCAAGGGAAAAAGAGAAGCCTTCCACTTCTAGTCTCCTCCGCAGCCGTTTTTTGGGATGTCACGCAACGGAAGAGCGTTGCGTGACAAAATGATGAATATTTCATGAGTGAACCACGCAATCTCTATGGTAAGCAGTCGAGGGTGGTGGTGGGAGCTCGGGTTTTCCTGCCATTCGTGATGTCCTTTGACAGTTGAGAAGAGATCTGGGAGTGAAGTTGACACGTCATGCAACATAAACAAAGGTAAAACAAAGAAGATCAGATCACTGAGAAGTCGTCTTGACTGCGCAAAAAAAGTCTACTCTGATGGGACGTAAAGATGCGGAAGGAAGATCGGATGTAGAAAAATTCAGGAAGAATATAGGTGAGGGCTTAATCCATGTTTAACGCTTTTGTTATGTAGCTGAAAAATCTTTTCTTGCCACCTTGAGCGTGTAGTTTTAGGTAAGGAGAGAGAGAAAACAGTTGACGATTTGGTCCAGGCGGGAGCCTCGCTACAGTCACGTACGTTGGTCCTTTAGATACTTCTTTTCGGCTGCCTCGACACTCTTGTGCAAGGCTTAAGTTTCAAACGTATCTTCCGGCCTCAAAATGGCCTGTTTCGACTTGTGTGTGCTGTCTGCTCGCTATGATGGTGAAGAAGGTATAGAGATGGGGATGGGGTGGTGATTGTGGCCACTGAGAAAGATCGAAAATTTCTAAAATGCAGTAAGAGTACGTTGGTTGTATCCTAATCCAAGAACTGATGTGTCGACCAATTTCATTGGCTACGTGAGCTATGTAATCAGCAGATTTACATAGAAAGTTTGGTTCATTATAGCAATTTAAACGCTTTCTCTATTAAAATTTTAAACACACGGCATTCATGGAAGTCAGGTTTATAAGTAGAATATTGTTGTAAGTTATATAATATTAGGATTAGAATTTTACGTTTAGGATCTTAGACATTTTAGTAGAATTGATTTTGAATTTTTTATCGTGTATATTGATTAAAGATTAAATTCTTAGCGCATTTAATTGGACCAAATTTTTAAAATCAAATATGCAAAAATCAGTTTTATTGGCTACTGATAGGAAAGGAATACAATCTATTTAACAAATTGATATAAGTTTTTCATGTGTCTGTCCTGTTATTGATCATGAATTTCGTCATGTCATTGTCAAAGTAGCTGTGGATCCACGAGGCGATAGTTGAGTGGATCTGCAGACTACTTTGACAATGTTATGATGAAATTCATTGTCAATTACAGGATAGACGCATTAAAAACTGACTTCAATTTGTTTTTTTACGATAACAGTTCACTCTCACTGGTTGACACATTGCATAAATTATAAATTCATGTGTCTGTTCACTTATTGACAATAAAAATTAGGCAATGAGCGAGCGAGAAATTCTGCAGTTATTGTAAAATTGGTTATTGACCAAGCTTGAGGTCAAGATGGCTGGATATTGGCAGAGTTCTTTTTTTGGAAGGAACATTAGGCCAATATCCAGCCATCTTGACCACAAAAGCTTGGCCAATAAAGGATTTATTTTATGGTTTTCGCAGGAAATTTTTCTTGCTGGACACAGCAGGGTCCCAGGCAGGCGAGATAACCCCATCTTGCCCACTCAAGTAACCAATCATAGTGCAGGTTTTGGTTCATCTAGCCTGCAAACAGAGCTACAATAGCTATTAATAATAAGGAGTAATAGTCACTAATTCATTTGGATGGCAAGTGACCTGCTGTTCTTAAGTTCAACCACCCTGTTCTTAGCAAGGGGATATCGTTGGCCTCCATCAGTTGGCAATGACCAAGTGTTTCTTGTGTAATAGCTAATACAGTAAAAACCCGCATAAAAGAACTAGTGGATTAAGAACACTCAGGCTGAAATTTGGCCAAAAAAGTACCATATACATAGAACATATTTAGCCTGAAAGATGAAAATTGCTCTTATATAAAAAATTGGCTGCCAGTTAGATTAGAATAACCTACTAGGATGCAATACTAAGTAGATCAATATATGTGCTAGAACATTGCACACATAGAGTTTCACAGCAAGTATGGGAATTTCCAGGGTACATTTAGCAATCGTTTCTAAGACTTGACTAATTTATGCAACTAAATGACTGTTACCTTCTGTCAATCACATTCTTTATTTGCTGCAGACACAACATGCTGACATGAAATCCATTAATTAATTAAAATGTTGTGCTTGCACATTGATTTCA